GCAAGAAACTCCCTACCTTTACTGTTTCCTCTTAACTATTTTCTTTAAATTTTATTGTAAAGTTGATGTACACAGGGTTACAGTTACATAACTAAGGTAATGAGTAAATTTCTTTTCTAGTAGTGTTATCCCCTTCCTCATTTTCTCCTGCTTTCCTCCCCTTAAGCTCCCCTTCCCCAAGTTATAAAGTTCATTGCCAACATAGAGTCTAGTGAGTTTCACTGTTGCATTGGTTCACCCTTTGTCCCACAGTTTCTGATTCCCTTTCCCTTCCCCAAATCAGATAAATCTATATACAAGACAAAGGGCACAGGAATAAAAAACAGTGACACCCAGTTCTTCTCCTTGACTATACAGGTGCAGTGGTATTGGCTATATTTGGAGTTAACTTTGATTCTCTACTGAGGTCTCCTTCCCTCTGTTACAATACTTTGTGAATAAAACTTGTACTTTAACCAGTGCTCAGCTCTTCTTCTTCTTCCTCCTCCTCCTCCTTTTGACGGTCCTCAACTAGGGGCTGGGTCAGATGACTTTTTTTTTTTGTTGGTCATGAGGCCTGAATTCTGGGCCTGGGCACCGTCCCTGAGCTCTTCAGCTCAAGGCTAGCATTCTACCACTTGAGCCACAGCACCACTTCCGGCTTTCTCTGCTTACGTGGTACTGAGGAGTTGAACCCAGGGCCTCATGTAAGCAAGGCAAGTACTCTACCACTGAGCCACCTTCCCAGCCCCCCAAGGGTCAGATGACTTTGATTCCTCCCTCTACCCTCCTGATTTATTTGCTAAATGGTACAACTTCTGAATCTTCAAGTCAGGTTTCACATTTCATTTTTCTCTTTTGGAATTTAAAGTTTCTCCAAAGTAAGACAAACACAACAGATTTGCTAAGGGCCTGTGAGTGTCAGGAACAGCAGAACTCCCACAACTTAGTTTCTAATTATAGCACTAACATCTTCGTTTTGCCCTCACCAATCCAATGTCTACTTTATTGAACCTCTATCTATGTCTGTCTCTGTCCGTCTGTCTGTCTAACTATATGTCTACTATCTAATCTATATAATCTGCTGATCATTTCCCCCTCCTTCCCTCCCTCCCTCCCTCCTTCTCTCCCTCCCTCCCTCCCTCCCTCCCTTCCTTCCTTCCTTCCTCCATACCTAGATTTGGATTCAGGGTGTTCAGCTTGAGCCATACTCTTAGCCTTTATGCTCTGGATGTTCTTAAGATAAAATCTTAAATTTTGTGAGAGCCAACCTGGACCATTATACTCCTTTTTAAATCTTTCCTGTCATAGGTAGAATTTCAGGCATATGCCACTGTTCCCAGCTTTTTCTGTTGATGGGCTCTTTTGAACTTTGTGCCAAGGTTGTCAAGAACTGGGAACATCCTGATCTCAGCCTTCTTATTAGCTAGAATCACATGCATTAGCCACCACAACTGGCCTCATCTTATTTCTCAGTAATTATTTAAGACTTCCAAGTTGTAGCCAGGTGCTAAGTAGCTCATGCCTGTAATCCTAGCTACTCAGGTGACTAAGATCTGAGGAGTGAGGTTTGAAACCAGTCAAGGCAAGAATGTTCATAAGACTCTTACCTGCAATTAACCAAGAAAAAGCTGGAAGTGGAGCTCATATGGTTCAATCGGTAGAAAACTAGCCTGTAGCAAAAAAAAAAAAAAAAAAAAGCGGTGCCCAAGGCCCTGTGTTCAAGCCCCAGAACTGGCACAAAAAGAAATTAGATTTCCAACTTGCTGAAATGAATCCTTTGACCATCAAAGTTGTATTCACTCATTCTTTTACAAATTATTCTAATTTTCTTAGGATCTCTAAGACCCATAAGAAGTCGATGCTATTAATTCACAAAATGAGACAACTCAAGTTCTTAGCACTGTGTCTCCTCATTTTGTAGCTGGTTGGTTTTATCTTCCCACAAATTTGACTACTTTCTTGGTGATCAGTGATCATGGATGGCCTTTCTGTTACCAGCATAATTCTCCCTCTAAGAGCAGTCTGAACCTACTGGATGCCAGAGTTGAAGTTTTGAGCAACATTTTCTTTGTATCCTTCTCATCCTCCCCCCAGCCCCACCCTATCCCCACCCCTACCACCCTGTACCTGTTTCAAACTCAGGGCTTTGAGTTAGCTGGCTTTGCTTTAACAGACATTAGGTATCATACTTGGAAAGATTGGAAATACTTGGGCTACCAGTGTGAGTAGCTGTTGGAGTCTTCATATTGGGAAGAGAAAGAACAAAGGCTATCTTACCCAAGAAGCTGAACTTTTTGTTCATTTGGAAATGGAATGTTCAGATTAAGAATGGCATAGCTTGGTAACACCTTTGACATTATTATGTTTTTTTTTTTAAACATAATGAGGGCTGGGAAGGTGGCTCAGTGGTAGAGCCCTTGCCTTGCATGCATGAGGCCCTGGGTTCGATTCCTCAGCACCATATAAGCAAAAAAAAAAAAAAAAAGCCGGAAGTGGCGCTGTGGCTCAGTTGGTAGAGTGCTAGCGTTGAGCTGAAGGACAGCACCCAGGCCCAGAGTTCAGGCCTCACGACTGGACCCCCCCCCCCCAAAAAAACATAATGAAAATATAAATTTAATTTTTTTTCTGGTCCTAGGGTTTGAACCCAGGGCCTCATGTTTATTCCACTTGAACTCTACCACTTGAGCCATTTCTTCAACCCAGCTTTTTGCTGGTTATTTTAGAAATGGAATCTCCAAAATGTTTCTGCCCTGGCTGATTTTGAACCATAGTCTTCTGCATCTCAGTAGCCTGAGCAACTAGGATTAAGGGTGTAAGCCACATTTTCATTTAAAAAATGAAATGTCTTATATAATGTGGGAAAACATTAGAGCTGTTCAAAAAACAAACATACTCATAAAACCATAAGATATATTTTGCCCTATTTAGTGTTAGGACTTTTTCTTTTAATAAATCTACATATGTGTGTTTGTATACATGATACTGGGTTTTTTGTTCATTTTTAATTAACATAACCTCTACATTTTCCAATAAGACTAATTGCTCTTCTACATTCTTTAAAATAGATATACAGCCTTACATCACTCTATCATCATCATCATCATCATCATCATCATCATCATCCTTATTTGGTTGAATTCAGGGACTGGGTCCTGTCCCTGAGCTTTTTTTTTGCTCAAGGCTAGCACTTTTCCACTTGAGCCATAGCTCCACTTCTGGATTTTTGGGGGGGTTGATTGGAGGTATGAGTCTCATGGACTTCCCTGCCTTGTCTGGCTATGAACCATGATCCTCAGATCCTTAGCCTCCTGCATAGCTAGGAATACAAAGCTGAACCATAGGTGTCCAGCTACTTTTTTAAAAATAAAAGATAGGTGGTGCCCATGTAATGCACAAGAACTCTAGATATCTCTGGTAAGAACTCAGACAATTTGGCAACCACAGGTAGAGACTGAACCACAAGGGGATGAGTAATTGCCAAACTGGCAGGAGAGAATGAAGTCATTGTTCTGTTAGGTGCATATATGTTGTGGTGACCTCTTATTATTGCCAATTTCAATGATGGAATTGTTTAGAGATGACTCTCAGACTTATCAGATAGGGACTGTGACTCAGTGTGGGACTGTAGTCCCTGTTATCATTAACATAAAGCAATATAAATATTTTAAAAGATGGGTGTTGTTCTGAAGATTCTTCTTAATTCTCCTTGTATCTCTGATATTTTGAAGCTTAATGACTGGCCTGTCAGCAAATTCAAGGCTGATAATTTGTCTACGTTAGATTAAATATCCCTCCCCCTGATAATCAATGCTAAAACACACTCCTATTTTTACTCACTTGGTAGATAGATTTCTCAGGGTTATTTTGTGGGGAAAGATTATTTGGGAGGGTATGTGTATGTGCAGTTGCATACTCTTTGTGTGAGAAGAATGTATCACAACTCCTAGTGAAGACTACAGATCATTAAGGATGAACACATTTTAGACCTCTTAATACACAGAAGCTACGCAGCATACAACGCTGTCTGTCCTGATGAAGATGGTACTTATGTGGATCATTATACAATGTGTGGCTATTTAAAAAGAAAATGTGGGGCTGGGAAGGTGGCTCAGTGGTAGAGTGCTTGTCTTGTATGCATGAGGCCCTGGGTTAAATTCCTCAGCACCACATAAGCAAAAAAAAGCCAGAAGTGGTGCTGTGGCTCAAGTGGTAGAGCATTAGCCTTAAGCTGAAGAGCTGAGGGACAGCTTCCAGGCCCAGAAAAAAAATGTATCCTTTTCTGAATGTGTGTGGGTCTGTATGTATTCAGATTATCTGGAATATAAACTGAATGAAGGACAGTAGACTGTCAGGCTGAAATATGTGAAACTTCAGTGAACTTTTCACAAGGTAGACAGGACCTTGTGGGAAAACACTGAGGATTAGAGGTGCACTGAAGCGGAAGCCATGGTACTCAGTAGGACTCAGTCCAGAACAAGAGTCTTGTTTCTGTTGTGGCTGTCCAAACAGATGGGCTCAGGGTACCATTACACAACCTGCACAAGTCCTTAATGCTATCCCAGAAATGGGCTCTACACATAACCCATAGAAGTACACAGTGACAAGACAAAGCAGATGACATCAATGCCAAACATTGCCATCTCTCAGTCAATACAACTTAGCTTACCATGGGAGACCAAACAAGGGGAAAGTCACAGCCAAAGACAAACAGAGCCAAGAGTGGAATCAATGGTAATTTAATGGAGCGGAGCAGAGAATGGAATATTCATATCTCATTTTAAAACCCTCTTTAAATGAACTCTGAGCAACCAAAGCACAGCAGAGGCACTAATGTTTTCTGCTCAATTCAGATGCTCGAAGGACTCCATTGTGTAAAAAGAAGGTCTCAAAGCATAATTTTTAAGATACAAATAGACATACACTGTGATGAGAGTGACTTTAGACAAATAAGACATAGAAGCAGATGGGAAGAGTATGTTCATCAGCTGGTGGTCATCTCCTCAAGAGTGCAGACAGCATTACTTGGTCTTCGGTTGAGCTGGACTTGGAGTGACTACTGAGGGGCAAGACTGAGGAACCTTGGACTGGCTTGGTTCTGGTACCTTGGAATAGCCTGGCTCAGGGACTGTGGTGCAGCCTGCCACAGGGGCACTGGTATTGCATGGCCCAGTCACTGTGGTATAACCAGGCCCAGGAACCTTTGAATAGCCTGGCTCAGGGACTGTGGTGCAGCCTGCCACAGGGGCACTGGTATTGCACGGCCCAGTCACTATGGTATAGCCAGGCTCCAGGACGTTGGCATTGCATGGCCCTGGGACTGTGGCAGAGCCAGGATCAGGGACACTGGTGTTGCATGGTCCAGGGACCACAGTGCTGCCTGGCTCAGGGACTATAGTGTATCCCTTCTCAGGGACCTTGCTACAGCCTGGCTCAGGAAGTTTGGTGTTCCCAGGTTGTGGAACATTTGGGTGGCATGGTTCCGTGGTGATGGGAACAAAGGGTACTTTTGGTAGAGGCTGGGAGGGCTGTTTCCTCTGCTGGTCTTGAGGCTGAGGGGGTGGAACAAGGGGCTGCTTCTGCTGGTAGGAACTCATGCTTCAGAGGATGCTGAACCTAGGGACAGAAAGCTGAGTTAGTGGTTTAGAGGACAGAGTAACATGGTCTGTTTAGTCGTACATCTCTCTCATTGCACATCCCTTCAGAAGTGAGAAACCCTCTTTTCCTTCTTTCTGTTTCTCTGAATTCAGAACATAGGATGCTTTCCTGGTTCCCACACAATTTTAAAGTAAAAGATAAAGGTGATTTGTGGAGCCCCATGTGGGTGGAGTACTTCTTTCTGCTTCCTTTCTTTTTGAAAATATAGTTCTTTTATTGTAAAGATACTATACAGAGGGGTTACAGATACATGAGTAAGATGATGAGTACATTTCCCATTGAGCATTCTTACCCCCACTCTGCTTCCTTTCTACCGAATGCATCTGACACAACCTGTACATAACCTAAGATCTCAACACAAGCAACTCATCACAATAGCAGGCTTGGAGGATTGCTGCGAGGCCCAAGTTTTCAATCATATGAGAAGATGATAAGGGAAAAGGTCTAGAGTCTACCCACTCATGTCCATCCCATAAAACACATTAGGTCTTATAGGACAACTGGTAATGAATCTCTATATGAGCCTGTGGGATCCACCTCTGAGTTTCTGCTTGTGCTGTTGTCTGCCACATGCTTTCTGGAAGGCTTTCTTGTGCATCTCTGCTGTCCCCACCTGCTCACCCCAGTGCCTCTGTCAGATTTCACGTTACCTTCATTATGTTATCCAAATCAGTTACCTTTGCTTCCTTCTACTCCTTTCCCTGCTGTATTTTTTAACAAATTAGGCCCTTATATATGTTTTCTAAGCAGTCATACACTCACAGAGTAAAGAAAATATTACTTTTCAGTGTCCATATTTCTAATGTCACATTTTCTATGGCATAACCTCTCAGTGAATTCCACAGGAGGAATTAGAACATCACTAAAATTTCCTAGGAGATAGCATATCCTCCTGGTCATTTAACAGATCAGTATTTCCCTCCCTTCTCTGTCCACAAGGCCCATGCCTCTCATATGAGGAGAAGGTCAAAGATGTATAAATGGAAGTTGCCCATGCATGAAAATAAACATAATCTTTAGTATGGAAAAGAAGTCTCCATCAATATAAAGCTGTGACAGGAGACTATAGAGAAGTTCCATGTGGGGAGACTTACCTGGGCTGCCGGGAAGTTTGAGTTCTTTCTCCTCGCAGGTCTGGTGTGGAGTCTCTGACCAGCTGGCATTTTATACAGAAAATTAGTCCTGCCTTAAGGAAATAGGATTTCCTTTCTGACAGCTCGTCTCATCCCAGCGTTTGTGATGAAAGTCTATGGCGTAACATTTTTTGATGCTTACTGTTTGACAATGTGTCACCTACTCCTGTGATCAGTGTCCACCCTTTCTGGTGGTAAAAGGAAATGCAGAAGGCAATGGATTAAGACAGGAGGAAGTTCTTCAATTTCCAGGACCAGAAAGTCGTGTTTGCTGGTTAGAACCCTAATCCTATTTAGTTCAGATCAATTCTGTTGAATCATTTTCTATTTGATCAGACATTTCTGATTTTTTCCAGATGCCTTGCAGGGAAGAGAGGTGCTGCAGATTGAATGAGTCATCTGATTTTCAATTACTCAGTGGACCAATGCCTGGGAAATAAAATGAATGAGAAAAGTCTTCTTTGGAAATAAGTGGTTTTTATTTTGGAGGAGGTCTTTTTTCTTTTTAAAAAAATAGCTTTAGAAAGAATTTACTATACCAGGGTTAAAGTAGGGAGAAATAGAAAAACGAAAAGAAGCATTTCCTGTTTCCCATATAGGAAATTAGAGTTAAGGACTCTGAGTTTTGAGAGATCTTTACATGTGTTGGTTCTAGGTACAAGACTTTTGTTTGTGCCCTGTCAGAAAGTGCATGCCTGTAATACCAGCTATTTTAGAAGGTAGAAGGAGGAAGATCATCAGTCTGAGAGCAATGGGGAGAAAGATGAACTACTAAGACCCTATTTCAGAAAGAAAATACAAGCAAAGGGCTGGAAAAGTGGCTCATGTGGTTGTGTACTTAAAGATCCTTGTTAGATATAAATGATTTGTAAATGTTTTCTCAAGTTCTCCTTTCTTCCTTTTTATATTGTCTCTCATAGAATAAAAGCTTACTTATTGCTGGCCAGTGGTTCACACCTGTAGTCCTAGCTACTTATGAGGCTGAGATCTGAGGATTGTGGTTTGAAGCCAGCCTGGGTATAAAAGTCCCTGTGGGACTCTTATCTCTAATTATCCACTCAAAAACCAAAAGTGGCACTATGGCTTAAGAGGTAGAGCACTAAGGTTGAGCATAAAGAGGATCAGGGACAGTGCCCAGGCCCTGAGTTCAAGCCTTACAACTGACAAAAGCCCCTACATACATTTATTTTAATTAATTAATTAATTAGTTAATTAATTAATTAAGCTGGTCCTGGGGCTTGAACTCAGGGACTGGGCACTGTCCCCAAGCTTCTTTTGCTCAAGGCTAGCACTCTATCACTTGAACCACAGTGCTACTTTGGGTCTGAGTAGTTTATTGGAGATAAGAATCTCATGTATTTTCCTGCCCTGGCTAACTTCAAACAGTGATCCTCAGATCTCAACCTCTGGAGGAAGTCTTAAGATGCCATGTTGTACAGAATTTATTATTGAGGATGGACGGTCAGTAGCACCTGGATCTTTAGAATGTGACAACACCTTCCTGGAATATCCTGTCGGTCATGATCTCTTGGGCGACACAGGAACAAGACAACTCTGGTTTTTGAATTAATGTGCCAGCTATTTTCTCAAAGATTACTAATTTACTAACCAATCGTTTACTAGGCAAGGCCTTTAAGAAATCCAAACGTCTTCAGGTATATGGATAATGTCTTCCTTCACTGTTCTACTAGTGTATTACCTCCCATAAACTTGATAGCCTAGACTCAACCACCATCATAAGCTCCTTCCACTGTTTCCCCAATGCCAGCAATTGTTCTTCAACCTCAATATCGCCTGCTTATGACGGATGCTCAGTTAATGGAAAGTCTATTCTTTTCTGACTATATCTGTGGGTGCATAAAAAGGGAGACATGCAAGAAGGTAGACAGGAAGGAACGAAGGAAGGAAAGTTGAAGAGCGAGAGAAAGAAAAGGAAAGAGAGAAGAATGAAGTAGATGAAAGAGAAATTAAGAAAAAGAAAAGGCATAAATTTAGAAGAATGCCCAGAATTCTTTTTGAGAACCGGAGGGATGCTTTTGCAAATGACTCAGGCCTCATGATACAGGCTGAGAAGAGAGCGAGGATTCCTCAGGATGTAGATGCCCTCAGTGCCTTCCCCACCCAGTGAGTGTTTGAATAGCCTCCTCCCTCCCAAGTGCTGTCATGGCCACCACCACACCTAAGTGCTAGTCGTTTCCTATTACCTCTCCTTTAGGGTTCAATCTAGGCTCCTCTCTTTTCTAAAACCACCTCTGTGGAGTCCCAGACACAGGGGGCTCTGACCAGATGTTGCTCTCATGCTGGTATTCCTACTACCAGAGGAAAGTTCTTCTTACTCTGTCTTCCATCATACTTCATTGTTCATTGTCCTGAGAGTTTTCTTGAACTTTTCCTTTTCTTTCTTTTTTTCTTTCTTTTTTTGTGTGCCAGTCCTGGGCTTATACTCTGGGTTTGGGTGCTGTCTCTGAGCTCCTTTTTGCACAAGGTTGTCACTTTAACACTTGAGCCACAGAGACACTTCTAACTGTTTCCTGTGATTAATTGGAGGTGAGTCTCAGATACTTTCCTCCTGGGCTGGCTTTGAACAGCAATTCTCAGAATTCTCAGATCTCAACCTCCTAAGTAGCTAGGAGTATAGGTGTGAGCCACCAGTGCCTGGCTTCTTGAACTTTTTTTGTGGAGAGTGCCTTGAACTTCTACCTTTACCCAGATCCTGTCATTCTTGTTCATTTGGTCAAGCACTTGCAATAGCTGAAAGCTCTTTCTGTACTTCTGAAAGCTTCTTCATGGGCAGTGTTGGGTGTGCCAAAGGATCTGGCCTCTCTTTCAGGGAGAGTAAATCCAGTACCTTCATCTGAGGGTGTGTCCTACAACCTTAGGTACTTAGGCTTTTTCCATTAGATTTTCTTCTCTCATCAATGACAGGTAGCTGCTTTGGGCTAACTTTATTATTCAGGGATTCACCAAATCTTTTGGATCTTGTATGTATGTACGTACGTAGTACATACGTATGTATGTATGTATGTATGTATGTATGTATGTATGTATGTATGTGTTTGCTTGTTTTTGTTTTTGCTTGTCTTGGCTCTATGGACCATTCCCACATGTTGCCTAGGATTCTTCTTTTCCTGACCCAATGTTTTCTGATGCCACAGTGTGAGCTGTCTGTGGAAATCTGTAGTGCCCTTGCACACATGAAAGCTAAAATTTGAACTTTGCCTCATTCATGCCCAGTGCACTAGCAGCCACATATTTTCAATGGAGGGCGTGAGATGAAAGATAATGTTTACCTCATCCTCTAGGACACAATTTTTCAGTACTCTCAGAAAGAGAGAACTTTACAACATATTGATTTTTTCCTTTTGTTTTAGTTTAATTCCCCCTTCTCCCCTTGTCATCTGTCCTATGATTGTGTTCTCTAAGAAACTAGCTGCACAAAAGACTGTCTGCAGATCTAATTTAGGGACATCTAGAGAATGTTATGAAATGCATGTTCCATTAGAGGTACAGAAAGAGGAATACAATTGCTCAATGATAGAAATCAGTGCTCAGTTCAAGGTCAGGGGATTCATTTGATGGGTCAGTGTGAGAAATTTGAAGTTGCTATAAGGTCCTGTCTTCAAAGATTCTGGAACAGAATCTAGAGCATGCTCTAGTCATATGTGACTGCTTAAATGTAAAGGTAGAGATTTGGAGCTCTGAAGAGCAGGAACTACCAGGCCTAGACAGAAGCTTTCCGATGCCTGAGCACTGGAACTTTGGTGTGAGACTATGGTCAGGTTTTATTATGCTCCTCTACATGTGAT